AAAACTTTTTTATTTCTTTAACCATATTCAAACAAATGTTTCTTTTTTAAATATTCTCTCTGGTAAGTCCCATCATCTATTTTCTTGGTTTCCACTTTAGTCTTTTTCCTTTGCCAGATCTTTCTTAATCAATGTATTTTGCTGAATCAAAAAGTTTTTCCGTATGTTCGTAAATGTTGCTGTAGATATAAAAAGTAAATCAGTTGAAGTGTCTTTGTACGGGGCTTCTGCCTTTCCATGTTTGTTGAAAATCTTTTTCTTTTTCTTTCTCTCCGCTTCTCTTATCATTTCCTTTCTCTCCGATGTTCCTGACATCTCTACAGTCCATTTTATCCAATCTGTTTTCTTGTCTTCAGATTTATTTTATTGTTTTTTCCAATTCTTGTGAATTTTTTCTTGTGAATTTTTTCCCCACTAGGATTAAATCATGTTTCCTTGTTTTGTTAAGTTCCATCTTTAAGTCTCTATTCTCAATTCTATATCCATTTATCTGTTTTATTTGCTCCTTCTCTGTTGTTGTTTTCTGGGAATTTTTTTGTTGTAGAGTTAACTTAGAAATAGATTGATTTATATTTTCAAAGTTATTTTGGATTTCTTTGTGGTTTAAAGTCATTGTTGTTTGAATTAGTTGCAGTATACTATATATCTCCTCCTGTGAAGTATTTATGTTTTCTTGATATGTTCTTTCTACATGTCTCTGATCCAGGATGGCCAAGAATTTGAGTTTTTCTCTTTCTTTCTTTTCTCTGCAAATAGCTTTAGAGTCCCAATTAAATAGATATTTGTAATCCAAATAGTTAAAAAAAGATTTTTTCCCTTAAAATTTATAATTCTCTCTTTGTCTACAGTCAAGATTACTGTCTTTTTTGTCACAGCTGTTCTTTGTTGTTAAAACTTTGAAGGTCACAAACACAGATTAGCTTTTCCCAGGTTTTGCCAAGTCTTATATTAAAGTCATAGCTGTCATAGTCTTCATCCACCACTAGGTGTCAGCAACTATTTGCTTTTCAATTTCCAAAATGAATAATTATCTTTAAAATGAGAGTCTTAACCATTCAAACAATTTTAGATTTATCCAGATTTAAGTTTTAATTTTCAGGTTTTATATTTATTTCACTTCCATATATTTTGACCCTCCATAAAAAGATTAATTCGCCGCTTCTATTAGTATAAGGGTGGGGTGGAAAAACCCCTCCTTCCCTTTTGGAGGTATTTTGCTTCTTGGGGATTTTTTCCAGGAAATTAAATATAGAATAGAAAAGAGAAGATTGAATTCCTTACCCAGTTTCAAGCATGCTGTTCACAGTTGTGCTGGTTAGTGCTTTTGGACTTCGGTTGCTAGTAGCTTGGGCTGGTTGATGCAATACAGCCAGCCTTTCTCCTGTCGGGTTAGAAGGCTTTCCCCAAGTTGAACAGAATGGCCGCCACCATTCCAGAGTCACTGGAGCACCCTTCTTTCTTCGTCGCCTCTCCGGGGTGACTTAGAACCATTTAGGATCCCCAGGCAGGACAAAACTAGCCGCGGGGGTGTGGAGAATCCGCAAACCTGTGACCGGTCATTACCACGCAAAACCGGAAGTCCCCCAGTCGCTTCTTAAAAACCTTCAGTAATGGAGCATCCACAACTTCTGGAGGCAGATTGTTCCACTGATTAATTTTTCTCATTGACAGGAAATATCTCCTTGGTTCTAGGTTGGATCTTTCCTTAATAAGTTTCCATCTGTTACTTTTTATCCTGCTCTCAGGTGTTTTGGAGAATAGATTAAACCTCCTCTTCTCTGTGACCACCCCTCACATATTGGAAGACTGCTATAATGCTATTCCTAGTCCTTCTCTTTGTTAGACTAGTCATACCCAGTTCCTACAACCATCCATCATATGTTTTAGCCTCAAGCTCCCGAATCATCTTTGTTGCTCTTCTGTGCACTCTTTCTAGAGTGCCAACATCTTTTTTGTATCATGGTGACCAAAACTGGACACAATATTCAAAGTCTGATCCTACCAGTGCAGTATATAGTGGTATTAACAGTTCACGTGATCTTGATTCTATCCCTCTGTTGATGCAACTTAGAACTGCAATGGCTTTTCTGGAAGCTACAGCACACTGCTGGCTCATACTTAGGTGGCTAAGTCTCCTAGATCCTGTCAAAGTTACTACTGTTGAGTCAGGTACCACCTATTCTACAGCTGTGCATTTGGTTTTTCTTGCCTAAGTGTAAAATGGTACTTTGCTCGCCACTGAATTGCATTTTGTTGGATAGGGCCCAGTGTTTAAGTCTGTCAAGATCCTTCTGGATCTTGAGCCTATCTTCTAAAGTGTTGTCTATTCCCCCCAGTTTGGTGTCATCTATAAATTTGATGAGTTCCTCTTTTATCCCCTCATCTAAATTGTTTATGCTGGAGAGTACTGGGCCTAAGACAAAACCCTGGGGTGCCACACTGCATGCTTCCCTCCATGTAGATGTAGTTCCATCTTTATCTTTAGGAGATTTGATTGACTTTTCAATGTGCTGCCTGGTAATTATTATTATTATTTATTATTATTTTTTTAATTTCTATACCGCCCTTCTCCCGCAGGACTCAGGGCGGTGCACAGCATATTAAAAACAGATACAATAACAATATACAAAAATAAAACCCTTCTAAAACCAAATTAAAAACCAAATATTAGAGGCTGTGTTCCAATTAAAATTATACTTAAAATCGTCCCTAAATAAAATCCTCCTTAGGTCAGGCCNTGTTTGGCCGACGGCACCCTGAGGAGACCCACTCTGTGGGAGCGTACCGGTCTATGGGAGGAAATCTGAGGCAGAAGGCGGTCTCGGAGGTAACCAGGTCCGATGCCATGGAGCGTTTTAAAGGTGGTAACTAACACCTTAAAACGCACTCGGAAGATCACTGGTAACCAGTGCAGCTCGCGCAGGAGCGGTGTTACATAGTTCTTTTCTCCCACTTCTCTTCCTGAATCTTAAATAAAAAAAAAATCAGGTACTTTTTCTCTCCAATCTTCAATATGATTGGATAGCAACTGCTAAGATTGGGACATTTTGGCTAAGTGCAATTTAACCAAAAGAAGACATTGAGGGGTTGCTGGATTCATTAGCAAAGAATATGTCATTAAGTGCACATACAGTTGATCTCCAGCACTCTAAGATGCTTGCAGAATTTTATTGCTGCAAAACCTGGACTGTGTGCTAATTCAAGCACCCATGTGTAAACAATGAGAAAAATAACAGGGTAAATAGACAAATAGGCACTTTCTCATAGTGAAGAACAAGTATTTTAGGAATGCAACTTCTCACTTCCTGCATATTCATCCTCATCTGAGTTTGCCATGGCAATGGTGCTCAAACCTCTTTACTGCATTCCTGACAACTATGGGGTTATTCAGGAAAAACCTGATCTCTTTGGATGCCTGCCTTATATCTGTTTTGGAGAGAAATGGGCTGTAGAGGAAAAGTTTTAACCGGTCAAATGGAGAGAATGTTAATTGAACTTCTGGAAATGATTCTTAAGTAGAGTTAAACTCTAATTCATTAATCTTTGGTGGTATGGCCTATGCCTCCATCTTCTGGTTCAATATAACTATTGCATGAGAAACATGTCAAAAATAATCCCCACTGTGTGTGGGGAAGGGGAGCGGGCATGTTTAAATTGGCTTTCATATTTTGTGCCTGGAAAAAAACTATTGAGATGCACTCGCTGTAGAATAAAAACAAGCAACTGTTAACTAGCATCACTGCCTTAGGCATACTGTGAGAAAGTGAAGGACACAAAGAAGAGAAGGCAGAACGAACAATTTGCATCTGTGGTGGAGCAGTTAGATACTTGACTTTCCTTCTTGGTTTTATCACATTTTATTTTAAGTGAGAGATTCATAATGGGACTAAGAGCATCTTAATTTTGTTTTTCTTATATGTGAATGTATTTTTATTATGAATCTTTCAGAAAAAATATAGGAACATTATAACTGACTATAATAATAGAAATAAGTATAAGACCTTGACATCCTATTTTATATATGGAAGGAACTGAAGAAAAAAAAATAGAGGAGTCGGTACTGAAGGCTAAATTAAGATGTGCAACTTTCAGCCTGTATTTGTTTGGCTATATTTGTCCACAAATGGCTTTTGGTGGTCATTTGATTTGGTCCTTCTATACTGCAGTGCCCCAAAGTACGTTCTACCAATGCTATTTATTTAAGCAATCAAGTTGGGATTGCTCAGTGTAGCATTCATTCCTAGGATTTGTTTATTTGTTTATATTTATTAGATTTTGATTCAACCTTTATTATATTATAAGTAACTCAAGGCAGCTAACATATCTAATACTCATTTCTTCTCCTATTTTCCCCACAACAATCCTGTGAGGTGGGTTGGGCTGAGAAAGAGTGACTGGCCCAAAGTCAGCCAGCCTAGAACTCACAGTCTCCTGGTTTTTAGGCCAGCACCTTAACCACTGTACTAAACTGGACAGTCTCGCTCTTCTTATATC